ACAATTTATTTAAATTAAAAGAAATTCTAAAATGGGTGCAAAATGATTGTTTTGCCCCTGCCCAACAATATATGGAATTCCAAAACAGTCCCTACTGCTGCTCTAGAACGTGTGTGATCTTCCATGGATGCTCTGGGGTTGTTTTGTACCCATTTGACAAAAATATGATTTCTTGCTTGTAGGGTTCGTCATGGCGATCGACTTGATACCAACTTCAAGCCACAAATCATGTTTTTAAGTCACGATCATACGACTTGAAATTCGTACAAATCATGAAAACTTTCAAGCGATAGTGCGCTCGTTTCTTGATGTTTTTCTGTGATTTATTCATTATATTGCACTGAGAATTCCGCCACAATCGCATGGCAACAAACGCGGCTTGATTTTGAGCCCGAACGAAGATTTTGCAGTCTTGGGTTTTTGGCCGAAATTTGAATTCTGATGATCGAAATTTACAGCAGTTTATGGGCTTCAAGCGTAAAATTCGATCGTTCATCAAGTACAGGGCTCGAGTCAATAGTAGCCTTGGACCTTACGCACATGATGGAACTAGTTTTGTGTCAATCCAATCTGCGAGCACCGTGATATGGCCACTCGAGCAGAATGTGTCGCTGTTGAATTTTCTACAACTTCCTACTCGAATCATCGACTTCACTTTCGATTTTCTCCCTACTTGGGCGTCGTAACGGGACATGAAACATATTAAAACGCTCGTCTTGACGAGACAAACACGCTCACAAAATTTGAGCATAATCTGACTCAGATCTAGTGAGATATGGCTCCTGAAAGTTACTGCCCCATACTGTAAAAAGAGTCACCATTAATGGTGATGTGGTGCAGGGAGGGCGCACAGGAATAGTATGCAGCCTACCCTTTTCGGTCTTTTACCCATAACTTTGTCCTGGAGCGCCCGATTAAGCTAAAACTTGACCCATAGGGATTTTCAACCGTATCGGATCCAATGATGTTAATCCCATAGCAATTTGAGCACCGAAAATAAAGTTAGGTACAGGGTCCGTTTCAGTGCTATAGACTGATTTTTTTGAACTTGTTTCTTTGTCTGCACTGCCATAGACGTGTCGGATTGAGACGAAACTTGGCAGGTGGCCTTTTGAAGTCCTTATGAACATTTTCACTTGTTTTGGGGCAATTCTGATACTATCGATAATTCCACTGTAATTCGGGCTTTATTGACCGGCTTCTCTTTTTATTCCGCATCAGCGACCCAAGGTGCTGAAAAATGTCTTCAAATAATCATGTGTACTCCTTAGCTCGAATCAAAGCCCTTGACCTTGTGGTTGCAACAAACTCGGTTTCAAGCCTATCCGATATCGGGGATTCATGATGTGGCCATTTGAATGAATGGGTTTTCTTTTTCTAAAAATCTGTTACACATGAGTTTTCTTAAGTGGCTCTCTAAGATTTATCCTGTCTTGGGTCACGATATGGATCGTGCCACATATCAAAACATACGCGTCGACTAGACGAAGATCCTCGTGAAAATTTGAGCTTAATCCGACTTAAGAAGAAAGAGATACAACCATTCAAAGGTGTTCTCGAAATCACATTGCAAAGTTTCCATAAATTGAAACTGGTTCACCGAAGGTGCATTAGAATAGTGTATAACACACCCGTTTTGGATAAGTTGGCCACATAATGGTCCAGAAGCATCCGAATGAGCCAAAATTTGATATCTGGGGATTTTTTAACCTTCTGAATCCAATGAAAGTGGTATGGTGCCCTTCTGAAGCTCCGGTAATAGGTTTGTAGTTATAAGGTACATTTTCAGCATGTTAGAGGCAGAATCTGAAAACTGATTTTGTCCCTGATCCACCTTAACGTCATCAGATTGTGACGAAACTTGGCGGGTGTTCTTAGGGAGTCATGGGATAACTCTACATACTTTTTGGGGTGAATCCATCGTCTTTCAAAATTGCACTCCAGATCAAGGTTTATTTCAATAGTGCTTCCGTGGTCCATAGGCATTTTGGTACCTACGGCGATTGGCTCTCTCCTTATCAGCTTCGGGGATACAAGTACTGAAAAATACCTTAAGACAACATCGTGTGATGATATAATGATGAGGCTTTTATCCCTGTGTCTAAAGGTTATTCATCAAACACAAGGGACACACAATCCCTCGGCTCTCATCTGGGCATACTCAGACCTCATCAAGGACTCACTCAGTAAATCTTTCTCGGTAGATCCCTATACCCAGATATTTTGGGCTTTCCAAAACTCGGTTGGCTTAGCACATCGAACGTAGTCCGAGTATCAGCAAATCGCATTTGCATCGTATGTTCCACACGAGGACCACACTCCCACTGAGTTTATGTTTCAAATATAAAATACTCATACAAACTCTCATAAGGCCTTTAAAGGCCACATCAACCCAACAGAAGGTGCACCCGCACTTGGTTTATGATAAGTTGTTTGCTTCGAATCTTGGGGGCTCAAAAGCGGTATCATTGGCTGGTGGGCTTTCTTGCTCCACTATTGGGCTCTCTTCGATAACAAATTAGAGAGAGAAAGAGAAATTTTATCTCAATTTTGTCTGCTCAACCCTAGAGTTTGGGGTAATTCCACAGATTCAATGTCAATGAGGAGGTGGAGAGTCCCTTGGTTGTGCAGCCCAGGTTGTTTTATTAGTGCCTTTTTTTGGATGAGAAAGAGTCGAGAATTTTAGTTTTATTCTTTAGTTGATCTAGATACCTATATTGATGAGATACGAAACAAGAGCTTAGGCTCCCAAAAAACCAAAGGAAGAGTCTGGCGAGTATGGCGAGACGGTTGAGCAGAAAGGTCCCACGCCTTAAGAACTAAGCACTTCTTGTTTACAAACCATGGACCGCCAGTACCATCTCTTCTTTTGAATTTCCTCTCTCTAGAAAGAAGATGTAGACATATTACATTGGTATGGTGGTTATTGTCGGTCTTTCTTTGGATGGGAGAGAAAGTAGGGGCCTTGACTCTTGGTTTTCTCTCTTATTTGCTCTAGATACGGCCATGGTACTTGGGTTGATTAGGGGTGGCAATAGGATAGGCATACCAATCATCCCCTAAAACAATTAGTGTATGGTGGCCCAAGAACCGGGTCAAGCCTAGGCTAGGACCATCACATTGCCAACCTAGGCTCGACCATTTTTTTTCTTTATGTTTTCTTTTCTTTTCTCTAGGTCTATTAGGCCTTGGCCCATGGCCTATTCAATTTAGTCCGCAATCTTTTAAGGACATTGGCTGGGCTAAGGCTAGGGCCAAGGTTGGCCTAGGCTCAGCTTTTTGCTGGTGCTAGATTAGATCACGATTTCTGTTCGATTCTTTTTGGGGTAATGTTTCTATCCCTACAAAGGGCGAGCTATTACATGGACATGCGTTTCAGGCTTGTACCGACTATTCTTTGTGCGCAGAACTATCAACTCTTTGTAAATGGGAGTGATGATTCTTTTATTTCATCATGTTTATGTATTTCTCTTTCAACTTCTTTTCGATTGATAGTTGTTGATATTTTTTGTTTCTTTTTGTGCCGTAACTTTGTAGACTACACGTTTATTAATTAAGAGTGAATTACTACATTATTGGCTGCAAAATAAATGGGTTTCTTTTTTTTTTTAACTAAATTATGCGGATAAAAAATACGCCAATATTTGATGGATAGAGAGGAAAATTACGCTGCACTATTTTCCAGACAGGTTATCAAATCTGACCATACCTACTTTTCAAACAATTTTTAAGGGACATTTATCGAACTAACCATGGGAGGTAGAATATTTTATAGGACCCGGTTTCTACGTGACCAAGCCCGCATATGTAAAAATGTGGACCTCTTAATAAATCTATACCTCTTAATAAAGCTATTTTTGAGATGGA